TATGGGATTCAGAGGCGTAGGCTGGCACCTTCTCAGATGCCTGTCCCCACAACGACCCCTCCCCATGAAGGCACCCTCAGGCCCCAACATCATCCACTGTGCTTCCTCTCTACTTCGCTTCCCTCCCCCACCTCCCCGTATTATAATTCACAGATTTCCAGGATTTGTCATTGGTTTGGTCCAAATGTTTTGATCTCCCATTCTCCAGTCATTACAAAAAACTCATGGGTTCCAATGCTTTCTATTGCTCAGTGATTGCCCTGGTCTGGTAGAGACTCCCACAAAAGCAGCAGCCAGGAGGTGGCGCCATTCCTCAGACGCAAGGACCACTGTTTCCTTAGCGAGGGTCATAGGGAAAGTCTGACGGCAGCATAAAACCACGCAGGGAGGTGTCCAGGAAGGATGCGTCAAGGTAAAGTTTAAAGAGACCCCAGGTCATCCCCTGGACTCTGGACTCCTTAACAGAACAGTTTTCACGCCCTGAACCTTTGCCCAAGCTGTTCCCTCCAGCTGGGGCCAACGATTACTTGCCAGACATACCCATCTAGCAAACACCTCTTCATCCATCAAGATGCAAAACAAGGGCTTTCTCTGTGAGATCTCCCCAAAGAAAGACATGTCCCCCTTGCTCTGGGCAGAAGAGGGGCAGCAGGGAAAGCACAGGACACCGGGCAGGCTCGTAGCAATGTGCTCAGTGAACAGCAGCCATTGTCTACCTACCTGCTATTTACCCACATCTCCTTCATAACCACAGCCAGTCCTGACACAGCACCGAGGTCGTGCAGCTAAATACTTGCAAAAGAAAGACTGATCCCCCAAACATTCCTCAGCTAACATGAGCTATTCACTAATGGTCACCCAAATAGTCTCCGTACCCTCCCTCTGCTCCTTCTTCCTTACTGCCCCTCCCAGGCCATCTTCAGGCCCCCCTGCATGGTGAACCCCAGGAGAAGCAGGGCTGAGTGAGAATCTTCAGGGGCCCCTGAGTTGGGGGTCTGGCACACTGTAGGTCCACAAGGGAGTCAACCAAATGAGCCAGCAAATCCTGGCCAAGGGGCTTGGGGATTTGAGAGAACATTCTCAGAAGGCCCCGCCTGTCCACCACAGGGCACAGCTGGTGAGCCTGTACCTGCACAGCCACGGCAGGGGCCTCTGGGCACACTGCGACCCGAGTCATGGTCCACATGAGTCACAGTGTTTATGGTGCCTGCACCAGTGCAGACCAAAGGCTCACTATGAGGAAAAGAGGGTGCGTCCACCCATGGACGGGGAGAGAGGAGGCCAGACTAGGGCTCGATTTGCCATAAGGACCCAAGCCTAAGATTACCTCTGAAAAAAACAGGAAGGAAGGCAGGAGCAGTGAGCACTAGAGAAGAATCAGAAAGGGAGGATTCTGTCCCAGCTCTGCCTCAGTTCCCTCACCTGCGCGGAAACTTTCAGGCAGTTGCTCTTAGCTCCAGATACGGAGCTAAGTACTTTATAACATCATCTCTTTTCAGCCCCCTCCTCCCACCGTAACAAAGTTGGGTGACCTGGAAGTTCAGCAGATGGTATGGGGTTTAGATCCAGGATCCGACCCTGGAGAGCCTCAGTTTCCCCATCTATAAAATGGTGGTAACTTAGTACCTACATCACACAGTCAGCACTACTAATGTTAGGCACCATTATTACTAAGATTTACTAAGAGGAGAATGTGAGAGGCCCCAAGTGGTAAACTCATTTGTTCATGGCCTCTATCAAGTGGTCAGGCCGGGCCAGACTGGGCTGAGCCCAGGATCTGACCAGCCTGGTTCAGCCCAGATAGGCTGTGTGCATCAGTGGGGCATCAGTCCTGGTAGGTCCCAGGTACCCTTCTGAAGGCTGTAGGGGCAGAACAGCTGGCGACCAAACCAGGGCTGGACAAATATATCACATTTGCAGCCCCAGGAATCTAGTGTGTTGTTGCCTCATAAGCTAGTGCTCCAAGCACCGCAGGCCCAAGGGGCTGGAAGGGGCTGATAACAAGGCAAAAGCACATTCTGTGGTAGAAAGGGCCCAGGTTCAAAGCTGGAAGTGGTACACATTGTCGCTCCAACACTTACTAACTGTGGCCTTGGGCAGGTGACTTGACTTCTCTGAGCCTGTTTTCTCCTCTGCCAAGAATGATATTTCACCCCCTAAAATAGGGGTGGAGTGGAGATTGACAAGGCCTGAGACACAGGCTCATAAAATGGAAATGAACCTGAACCTAAGTAGGAAACCAAACTTGTTCATCAAAACAGTGACAGAAATAATGGCAGGCGGCCTCCCTGGTGGCGCAGCGGGTTGAGCGCAGCGCTGTGAAGCTGTCCACAGCCTCTGCAGTGCCAGTTTGATTCCCAGCCGGCCAGGGAGATTCCACATGGCACAGCAGACCTCTCCTGTCTTGCCCACTGCTCCCCTCAGCAGTGCTTTCAGTCCTTCTGTCTGTTCTGCTCCCTGCTCGGTCTCAGGTGAATTCTCTCACCCTCCCGCACCTCTGGCCTGTACCCCAGTGCTTGTATAAATAATAAATAAATCTTAAAAAAAAATAATGGCAGGCAACACAGATGAATGAGTCCCCTCAAAACCTCAATCAAGTACAAAATGCAGATACAACCAACTTCCAGAAGTAGGAGGCATAGCTAGCAGGTTCAGGGACCTCCAGAAGCTATGAGGGGGTTGCCAGCGGAATATTGGTGATGAGGCAGGATGATCCCAGGATGAGCAGACCTTGAGGGTCCATATAAGGGCCTTGATATTATGTCAGAGCCCAGAAGTCAGTCCTCACCTGTAGGATCACCCTTGCTAAATCAGGATCCTTCTCTCTGGGTCTGTTTCCCCATTTATAAGAAAGCTGAGCTAGGTGAGAAATAAGGGAGAGGAGCAGAAGAGGGAATAAGAGGAGGAGGAGGCAAAGACAGGCAGAACAGAAGGAGGGATAAAGAAGGAAGGGAAGGGAGAGGGAATGAAAACTACCACCACAGCCAAGGCATTCATTGGGAAGTTCCTCTTCTGAGTGCTGAGTTATCTCCTGTACTGCTCACAAATACACTCCTGAGCTCAGATAGCATCATCCTCGTTTTAGGAACTACAAACTGAGTTTCAATGAGGCCCATGAAGTCACCTGCCTAAGGCCACACAGTGGCAGAGCTTGAATCTGAATCCACTTCTTGAATCTGAATCCAGCCTCCAGAGTCCAGCCCTAAGGTCTCCCCACCAGCAGGTTTTGGCACCATCAGGAAGTGAGCTGAGCACCACCACTCCCTGGTGGTCACTCCCTAGAATTGCAGGTATGAGTCGTGAAAGCCAGGAAATGAGGTCAAAGGCTCCAGCCTCTTGGGTTCAAGGTCAGCATAAGTGCCAAGCCTCTATCTGCCTCTGGAGGAGAGGAAATCAAGGAGGCAGCACTGGAGCAGAAAGAGGGAGCCTGGGCAAGTCACCAAAGGCTCCAGGGAGAAAGGATCCTCAATGACAGAAAATGGAATGGAGGAGCCGGATGAGCAGGGAGGATGCTGGCAAGCAGAGCCTATAAAAAGGGGAGTTTTAAATGCTCTTCTCTCCATAACCTTTGCCTTCACACACATACACAAAAGTTCAAGTACAATCAGATAAGCTGAGTCAGCGCCACCTGAGAGGGAACAGAGAAAAGGGAAAGAAAGAAATAGGTGGAAGGGAACATTTAACAGGAAGATCAGGCAGGTTTCAAATGTGTGCAGGTCTGTGGCTGACATCTGAACACTTGGGAAAACTTTCCAGGTCTGCTCAGAGACATCTCCCTGAGGTCTGAGTTCTCCCCTGGCTCTCTCACCTTCCCCCACCCCCACCAACCTACAATCAGGCCCAAGCCTGCCAGGGGCATTTTCACCCCATTTCACATAAGAGGAAACTACAGTTAAGGGAACTGAAGGGTCTTGCCCAGGCCATAAAGCTGTAGGGTGTAATTAGGAACGAACTTAGGATGTAATTGCTGGAAGATTCCATTTCTCCAAGATGTGACCCCAGGCAGAGATATCACGGAAAGCACAAAGAAGCAACCAAAAAGGACCTTGTGGGTAGAACTGGTGTTGCCTCATGAAAGAAAAACCTCTTAAATGCCCCTTCTGGTGTCCAGAAAGGACTTTACGAGCAAGTACAAAACTTAGCAGATCTCCATGTATCATGGAACTTAAATCCCCCAAAAAAATTATCATAGAAAATTGAACATGGTAAAGCCCCAGAATGGCCCGGTGACACCAAGACTAGGGAGGAGGCAGCTCCCCCAGGGTCCTACCGTATCACCCCCACTTCCTTTCAGGCTGAGAGAGAGGAAGCACCACCCCAAGGAAGATGCACTGAGTGCAGTCAAATGGAGACTCACAAACAAGATAATGATGATGAGGACAACGATAGCACTTATTAGAGTGTTTGTTGGGACCATGCTAAACACTTCCCGCATTTTCTTATCCGAGGCCTACATCAGCCCTGGGAAGTGGATACTGTTATTATCCTTATTTTACAGATGAGGAAACTGAGGTCAGATACCTATCTGCATGCAGAGCCAGGGCCTGAACACAAGCGACGGCACTGGGGAACCAGCTCCTCACCAAGGCCACCTAGTGTCCCGACACAGGGAGGACCCCACACACAGTCTGACTTCATCCCCCACAAAAGTGCAAAAGAAACAGGAATCGTGATCCTGATTTCCAGGTGAAGAAACAAAAATGCAGAAAAATTAAGTGAGCTGCTCAAAGAGGCTGCAGGGATTCAAAGGTGGGACACTCACTTCACTGCTCCACGCCTGGCAGTGACCTGCACTTGGCTGGAAACCGCTGGAAGAAAGGCTTTCCCTGCAGAGCCACCAAACCAGACACCCTTCACGCTGAGAACCACAGCTGGTCCAATCGCGCAACTCAGATGCCCATCTGTGACCCCTCAGGCCTCTCAGTCCACCTGACTCTTCCACGGCCAAATTCCCAGCGGTGCCCAGCGATTTCCACTCCAGCCATGCCCATCTCACTCACCACCAAGAGTCCGTTCCTCTTGTCCTTGGAGAAGCTGTGGCTTCTCTGAGGGGCCAAGGTCCCAGTGGACACCTGCTTGAGTGGCTGCTCGCTGTGCTGGAGGGTGTCCTCCTTCTCCAGGCCCTGTGGCAGCACCTGAGGCACAGGATACAAGAAAGAGACGTTACTGGGGTGTTCTCATTGCTGGGAAGACTCTGTCACACCACCGACAGAGACAGAAATCCTGGTGATGTGTGGGGGTAGCATGTCTGCACTCAGACCAAACTCAGCAACTTAATTACTGCGGGACGTCAGGTGAGTGCGTGAACCGCGCCAGGTTTGAAAAGATCACTATAACATTACTCAGCTTCTAGAGAACCCAGCAAGAGCACACAGAAAGTGTGTGGATCAGTGCCGCCACCAGGGGGCAGAGGGGAGCACTGTGCAAGAGACCCTGGTTTCTGGCTTGCTTACCCTAGTAGCCCATGCCTGGCAAGTGGGGAACCCTCCATAAATATTAGCCAACCTCGTTACTGCCACCAGTAAGTTTTGGTAACCTCACAGACATTCCAACCCACATGCACATATGCACAGGTACACAGAGAAATGGCCCATGATGGACCGTACAATACACTAGTCTGAATCCCGTCTTTTTCCCCCTTGCAGTTATATAGAGGGGGTACTTTTACAATCCAGTAAATTCAGAACTCCAGAATTAGGATTTTAGATGCCTTAAATTCTCCTGACACAGACAAAGAAAGGAAGGCTCAGAGAGGGAAGGCATCTGCTTAAAAACACACAGCGTCAGTGAAGAGCAAAACTGGATTCCTAACCCCTTGCCTTGGAGCCTCTTTTTTTTATGACGTATGAGACCCTCTGGTTCTCCTCCTACCTTGCTGACTGTTCCTTCTCAGTCTCCCCACATGTCAGAGTGATGTCTGAAGGCCGGTGTGTCCTAGGCCAGTCACAGAACCTTCTCTTCTCCTGCTACATCATTTCCTCAAGGGTCTCTCAAACACCCCAGGGTGTACATAAACCCCATCTGCACACAGATGATTCCCATTCTGTCTCATCACACCAGAACTCCAGACCTGAGAATCCCACAGCCTGCTCAACATCTCTACTCACAGCTCATGCTCATCTCAGATTCCGCATGCCCATAACAAGCCTCTCAATTCCTGCCCTCCAAAATTGCTCTCCCCCACCGGGCAGTCTTGCCTGTCACCCACCGCTGCAGGCCAATACCCTTGGGCAGCCTTCATTCTGCTTCTCTCCATCCCATCAACAAAGCTAAGGCCCTCCCTTCAAAACCTGCTGCAAAAGTCACATTGCATGCCAAAATTAACTCAAACTAGATCAAGGACCTAAAGGTGAGAGCTAAAACTCGCAAACTCTTAGAAGAAAACATATGTATCTCTCTTCATGACCTTGGATTAGGCAAGGGTTTCATAAATATGGTACCAAAAACAACAGCCATAGAAGAAAAATAAATTGGATTTGATTAAAAGGAAGACTGTTTTGTGTTTCAAATGGCACCACTAACAAGGTGAAAAGGAAAACCACAGACTGGAGTAAAATTTCTACAACCCAGGCAATCATATAGCTGATAAGCATTTCAGTGCAGAATATGCAAAGAATAATTACAACTCAATAATAAAAAGGCAAATAACCCAATTAAACAATGGACAAAGGATCTAAGCAGGGATTCCTCTGAAGAGGGTATACAGATGGCCAATAAGTACATGAAAAGATGCTGAACAGGAAATGCAAGTCAAAACCACAATGAGCGAGCACTACACACCCACTTGGACGGCTATAATCAAAGACAGATGATAACAAGTGTTGGCTAGAATGCGCAGAGATTAAATCCTCATACTCCACGAGTGGAACTATAAAATAGTACAGTTGCTTTGAAAACTAGTCTGACAATCTCAAAGGTGAAAACTAGTGTAACAATATGACCCAGCAAGGCCACTCCTAGGTAGAGAGCAAAGAAATGTGAGTATAGAACCTCACAAAACTTTGTACACAGAGTAGCATTCTTCAAAAAAGCCAAAAAATGGAAGCAAGCCAAATGCCCATCAACAAATAGGTAAATAAAGTGTGGTCTATTCAGATAATGGAATACTATTCAGCCATAGAGAGGAATGCAGTGTACTGGTGTATATTACAAAACAAATGAACCTTTAAAACATTAGGCTAAGTAGGAGAAGCCAGCCACAAAGGACCACACAAAGTGTGATTTCATTTATATAAAATGTCCCCCATAAGTAAATCTATAGCAAAAAAAGTAGATTAATGGTTGCCCAGGACTGGAGGGTACTGGGATATGGAAAGTGACTGATAACAAGTACAGGGTTGTTAGGGGAGAGTGGTATTCTAAGAGGAGTGTGATGGTGGTTGAAAAAGAACTAAAAAAGAACTAAAAGCCCTTAAAAAAACTAAAAGCCCTTAAACTGTGCACTTTAAATGGATCCAGTGTATGGGATATTATATGTATGGGATTATATCTCAATAGAGCTGTTAAAAAAAAACTGTGGAAAGTGCTCTGAACTCCTCCACTGTTACCACCTTCGGTAAGCCCTGTCACCTCCTGTCTGGGGACCATTGCTGGGCTCCCCGCCTCCAGTCTCACCCCATCAGTCCAGCAGGGCAGGGGTCCCAAAGACTAGAAGTAGCTCCCTTGTGGTCACCTCTGCTCACCTCTCCAGCTCAGCTCTGGTCAGCCCCCTGAGCTCACTGGGGTCCCTCCAGCACCCCTAGGACCAGCTCATCCCCATGCTTGGGCATCTTCAGCTGCCCCTTCTTCCTCCTCCCCACAGATCTCATCATCCTGGCCAGATCCCTTCCATCCCTTCCCATGAGACCTTCCCTGACCACCCCCTTAGAGCAAACTCTGTCACCCCCTTTTCTATCTCCCTGGACTTGGTCCACCCGGAAGGATCCCACTCACGCACTTGAGGTCTGCTGTCCCCGACACCAGTGCCGTCCACTGCCACACCCTCATGGGGCTGCTCTGTATCTGGGCTGTGAGACTAAGGAATTGGCTTTCAATCTTGTTTCATTTTAACTGAGTTAAATTTTAATGACTACTCAGGGCTGGTGGCTGCCATGTTGGATGGCACAGCCTGACACAGGAGGCTGGACTGGAACCTTAAGCCTAGAACCGGCCCTGTCCTGAGGTTAGTACCTCAAGCCACTGTAGTGAGTGAGTGGAGGGAGGGAGGTTATCTCGAGGAACTTCTGGTTTCCCCCAACCTCCTATATAGGCTCTGGGCCAGGAACTGGACCATATGGTATCTCGTGAAAATTCTCCAACAAGTCCATGAAGCTGGCAGGTTCTCCTTCCAGAAGAGGAAAAGAGGCTCAGACAGGCCTGGCAAGGTGCCTGGAGTCGCACAGCTAGAGAGTCACAAACAGGCCGGTCCCAGACCTGTCCAATTTGCAGTCCAGTGTTGTTTCCAGGGAAAAGTCAAACTGTAAGGGTACAAAGTGTTCATCTTCCTAATAAAGGACTCCAAGGACTCACTGAGAAAAGGACTGACATTCCAAAGGGAGGGCGGGACATAAGGAAGCAGGTCAGAGGAAGGAACTACAAATGGCCAGCACGAGATGAGTGAGGTTTTGGTGAGGGGCAGGAGCTCCAGCAGCAGAGGACACCCTGGACACAGGCTGAGGGGTGAGAGCCCTGTGTTGCCAGGGAGGATCTAAACAGGCGCAGCCCAGCTGAGGGGCACGCTGGCATGGTCCTGCAGGTGACAACCGCACTCACCCTTAGGCAATGGCCAGGCTGAACCACAGACATGCCTGCACAGGTGCAAAATGGCAGGCATCCATACCTTAAAAATAGCAAAGATCAGAAATATCACCCACTTCTGTTAGGCAACCATCAAAAGAATGAGGTGCTCTTTGTGGGCTAAATCCCAAAACCCTTGAGGGTTCATTGTATAAAGAGGGTGGGCAGCAGATAAGTGGGGTCAGCTAAGACCTTGGCAGAGAACCCCCTGGGGAGCTTTTAAAACTAACAGATTCCACCCAAATTGGTCTGGGGCAGAAGCCCCCTGCCCTGCTACCTTTTAGAATTCTCCAGGTCGCTCCCTTAGGGGACCCAAGTTTCACCCCTCTGTAGAGAGCGCTCTCTTGTGGAAAAGGGAGGCAAAAATAAGAGTGTGGATTCATACTTGCTTGTATTTTCAGAAGCAAATTCTGAAAGAATGTGGACAGATAAGAAAATAGGTGATGACTGCCTGGGGAGGAATAGGAGGACGCATGCGGCAAGTTTGACTCTATACTTTTATTTTTGAAACTAAAACAAATAATTAAGTGAAATACTATAATTGAGTCTGGGATGAAGTTTTGATAAATGTTTGTGAAGTGAAAATGAGAGGGGGAGAGACATGGAGGGGAGGAGGGTGTGGGACTGAGGAGAGGCAGGGTAGGGGGGGCCACTCAGACTGGCTGAGTGGAGAATTCCTCACCCAAGGGAGCAAAGAGGTACACCAAGATGCTTATGGACACCCCGTTTCCAAGGCAAAAACCAACCACCCAGTTGTCCACGAGCAAGAGTCTGGATTTAAAAAGCCTGGGCTCAGGGAGCCTCCCAGGGAATTAATTCTCAGTGCTATCACCACTATGGCCTGAGTTGCATCCCCCAGCCAGGGAATTGACCCACACAGGACACAGCAGACCTCTCCTGTCACGCCTGCTGCTCCCCTCAACAGTGTATTTCTGTAAACCTACCTGTTCTACTCCCCACTCTGTCTCTGGTGAATCCTCTCACCCCCTGCACCTCTGGCCTACACCCCAGGTCTTCTACTCAAAAAAATAAACAAATAAATAATAGCAATAAAGTGTCTGATGGTTTAAAAAAATATAATAATTTTTTTTAAAAGGCCTGGGCTCAGTGATAAAAGAAAATACTTTGCAGTCACTAAAAACAAGGTGATGATGCATGCACAGAATTTTGCCATCAAGTTAAAAAAAAAAAAAGCAGGTGTCACCACCAGAAACGTCTCCTTGGCGCAAAACTGCCCAGGCTTGAGGGCCATACATCAGCCTGGAATCTGTGCCCCAAACTCATCATTTTGGGGAAATTTTCTTTCTAAACCACATGTTTCTATAATATGTTAAACAGACATTCACTATTTTTGTGATAAGGAACATAGACAATTATAAATATATTTATATTAATATAACAATACATGATATTTAGCATATATTATAATAAATATATTCAATGACATCCATTATGTGTGTATTTAAAATTGTCATATTTTCCTTACAGTGTAGATTTAATATAATATATAATAATAATAAAGGATATACTCATCTATATTATATCACTATATTATGCATTTATAATTGTCATATTTCCTTTTACATACACATGCATATATGATTATTGAGCAACTGGGTAGTGGAGGAAAATTCCAAAAGACATCAAAAACTGTAACCAGGGCTGCATCTGGGGGACAGGAAAGGAAAAGGGGGGTCTAGAGGGACACTTTTTTATGCACTCCTGTAAGGTTTTCAACAACCAACATTTTGTACTTCTATACTGCTTTCATTTATTCATCTCTCTTATTAAGAACTGAAGATCTTTGGTTCAGGAAAGAAGAGAAACAGAGAGCTGATCCAAGGCTTCCCAATCCCTTGGTGAGAAAACAGATCCCCTGACAACCAGCACTCCTGGGGCCCCTGCCCTGGGCAGGCGTCCAAGGCTGAGCAGGGGCCGCTCTACAAGGCCCCAAAGTCCTGCTGCTAGGGGGCCCCTGAACAAGGCTCTGGCAGGCGGATGAAGTGTCACCTTTCTGTGGCCTCTTCCCTCTCCCTCCCTCCTCCCTTCCCACAATAACAGCCTGGGGGAGGGGGATGGTGAAATCCCTCTGGGAATAGCTCTGTAGGACCCGCTGCTGGCCCTGCACTGGGTGCCAGCCCAAGCTGAGCCCTTCACCTCCACTCAGCCTATAGTGGTGTTTATTAACTCCGAGGAAACTGAGGCACAGGGAGATGCCACCGCTTTATACACAGATGGTAACTGGTAACCCCAAACGCAAATCTGAACCTGGTAGTCAGAGATCTTGGGACTCTTAGAAGAGATGTAGGTTCAAGGCCCAACTCCACCATTACTCACCCTTAAATGTAGGTGAGCCTTCACTTCCTAATCTATTGTTATTATCCTGCTGCTTAATTGCTGCAACATCCCATGGTGAGTCAGTCTCCACGATGCCCCCAGAGCACATCATGTTTTTTCTCCATCTCCAAAATGTTGCACATGTGGTGCTCCCGCCAAGAACACCCTCATCACCCTTCATCAGGCATCCAAACGCATATCCACTCCTCAAGGGTGGGTTCAAGCCAGCACCTCCTCTAGGATACCCCAGTGGGCTTCTCCCCCAGCACCTCACTCTGTATCCTGTCATTTCCTAGTAGATGCTTGTTTCCTCTGTCCCCACAAAGATCAAAATCTCCCCTAGGGCAAGCTCCAGTTTTCAGATTTCTTCCTCACCTTTATGGTTCCTCATTTGGAAGCCTGAGTATGAGGCCAGACCTGGGTTCAAACACAAGTTTTGTCACTTGGTGCTGTGTGACTGGGACAAGTTACTTAACCTTTCTGGAGCTCAATTTTTTCCACCTGTAAGAGATGATCACACCAGCCCAGATGTGGTATCCCTGCCCAATACTCAATTACATACGTATGGCAGTGGCGTCCTGCAGCATGAGGGTTTCCCCTCACAGCTGAGCATGATGCCAGCCAGGACAAAAGAGTCTGAATGTAGCTAACCCCAGAAACAGACTCGGGCAAAGACAGAGGGAAACTGGAAAATAAATACTCCTAGTTTCTTGTTCCTTGGACAGAACAGCTCAGAGGTGAGCTATGCTGCTTCCCAGCAATGTCCAGTGAGTCTAAGTTTCAGCAACCCACCTGGATCACTGCTGCTTCCCTTCCAGCCTCATTGCTCCAGTCCCTTACCAGTTCTGGGGATCACTTCCTAAAATCTACCACTTGCATGGGCCTCCTTCCATGGAAATTCATGAAGATGACCTAGCTTGCTCATTCACTCATGCAATAAATATTTCCTGAATGTTCAGAGGATGTCATTCCTGCTGCTGCATACTGGGGATACAATAATGAACTTGATATGATCTAATGGAACACAGTGGGTGCTCAACAAATGATACCTATCATCACTCTAGGCCAGAGGTCTCACAAAGGTTTCCCACAAATATGTTTTCTTTGGGCTTAACATCATTATTTTATAAATTGTCCTCATATTACAATGGAATTACAGGCAAAAATCTGGATTTTTCAGCATCTCTTCATCAGTCAGATCTGCCATCTCAGGACCACCAATCTCACTTGCCAAGAATCAGCTGAGATTGAGCAGCAATTGCTCTTTGGGATAAGGCATGAACTCTCTGCCACAATCCCCACCACTCCGTAGAGTCACACACTAAGCTGGACTCGATCCATTTATATACCATCTGACCTGCATAGGTTCTGAGTTAGAGACCTTGGCCTACAGACTTAACTAATGTTTGGCAAAACTGCCTTCAAACTCACCTTTTGACTATCTTGAATCCCAGACGCTCTCGGACAGTGTTCAATTTTGATCTCTTTATCCCTTGAACTCTCCATGGAGAGGCTGTGCCTCCCTTTGGGTTGCTCTCGCCTCCTCTCTCTGGCTTCCTGTAGGATGGACAGTTGTTCTCGGATTTTGGAAGGGGCTCCCTTGTCTGAGTAAGTCCTCTTGACATCCAGCAGGGACCTTCCATGGCCATGTGGGTGGTCACTCCAATGAGCTACACTTCCTTCCTCTTCCTTCCCGATGCGTTTCCTTGGGGTGCCTTTCTTCTGGTCAGTGGGGGAGGACATGAGTGAAATACTGGTCCCACTGCCTGGATCTTCCCGGGCAGGGGGCTGTGACTCAGCTGGGTAATTCAGACACTTCCCACCACCGTGTTTACTAGCAAAGGCCTCTTGTTCATCCTCAGCAACTCCTAAGACTTTTTTCCTGGGCCCCTCGGAGCCAGAAGAGGCCACTGGATATTTTTCAGAAGAAGCTGAGGGTGGCAGAGACCACAGGGGAGCGTTGCATTTGGTGTTCATGGTGGTCCGCAGGGAGCATGTCTGAGTTGGAGAAGAACCTTGGTTTGTTTCAGCAAAACTGTCTTGTTTCCTGTGACCCTCAGCCTCCGAGACCTCCCTCAGGTTCCTCCTTGGCTGCTCCATTCCGCCTTGCTGGCCCTGCCTGTCTGGACAAGAATGGCGAGGGTCTGTGGCTGGCCCCTCCTGAGCCTCCTCGGGGTCTCTCGTGGGCTGCTTCCTGTACTCCTCCATCAGGGCATCCAGGTCCAGGACACTGGACCTGAAGCCATGTTTGTTTTTGCTTGGGAATGTCTCACTCACCACCTCAGTCCTCCTCCTGACAAGATCGCTGGATCTCTGACGACTTTTGAAAGCTGGAGTCATTTGGGGAGTATTGTTGGGGGACATCTTGCTCCCACTGTCCTTCCAATAGTTCTGAAAACCAGCACCATCTTCCTGTCCCCGGGGACGCCATAAGGCATCAGCACTGATTTTTTCACTAGAAGGATCCAGAATCTTGTCCCCTAGAGACAATCGATGGTGTTTTGGCTTTTGAGTTTTTGAGAAGCTTCCGTTTTCATGCTGTCTGTCCTTAGCCCAGTTTTTACTGCCCCTGATCTCTAGTGGCTCTTCATGGTTAAGAGACACCAAGGGAGATGTCAAAGAATGAGGAGATGGAGGTGGGGCTATGTTTCTAGGAGGTTCTGTTACGTTTTGGGGCCCTGGCTTAACAATGCTCTTTGATTTTTGAGTATCTGGAATCTGATATGTCACAGCAAAAAATGTTGCCTTGGGTTCCACAGAAGACCCTGGCTTCACAGTCGGAAGAGTCGGGTCTTGTAAAACACCTGGGCTCCCCTCCTGGGTCGGAACCCCATTGTGGGACAGTTGAGGTTTTCTTAAGGCGCCAGTGTCGGAATGCATCAAATAATCTATTCCTCTCTTCTCCACCTTCGGAGAGTGTTGTGCCTCCAGGATGTTAAACTCATCAAACTTCACATCGTGGGGTAAAGTCCGCCGCCGCCACCTATCCATTCTCTGGTCTGAGGAGTTGGCCTTGCGCATCCTGGTCTCTGGCAGGGGTACTGGGGCCGGCCTGTCTTCACCCTTGCAGGCAGCCACAGCCAGGGCCGATGTCTGCCCCCGCATGTCTGGATGTGGCCGTGCTCGGAAGTCAGAGGCCACATCCTTAGGCCTGGAAGGAGGATCCAGAGGGTATCCTGGGGGGCCACCCCTTTCGCCTGCTCCAACGACCCCTTGGTGAGCTTCTTGTGGAGCCTCCCTGGTGGTAGCCTGGACAGCCTTCGCCAAGATGGCCTCCCTGCTGCAGGGCTTCCCTGAGGGCTCCCTGGCCACCTCGGGGCTCTGCCCCCTGCCTTTCTCTTCACTGATCACCATGGGGGCTTTATGCCAGTTCACAGTCAGCCCACCTGTCCATTTGGAGGACTGACAGCTGCTCCCAAACGTGTCCTTCGGCTCTCGGAAGTCAGGCTTTGGGCTGACTTCATGTGTCCCTTGAGCTTCCCACAAGGAACTGGCCCTCTGCACGGGCCCCTCCAGCCTGCACTCTGGGTCAATGGCAATGCTGTCCAGGGACAGCTGCTTCCCCTTCAGCGAGGGCCGGGACCTGCAGCTCCCGGCTGCCGGGGCCTTTGCATCCAGCGCCGAAGTGGCCTCGCTGCTGAGCGTGCCCTCACCCACCGCCTGCAGGGTGTCAAACTTGGGCTCGACCCTCTGGGAGGGTGCTGGGTTCTCCGAGCGCTTGAGGAACTGGCTGTGACTGTATCTTTCACCCGAAGGGTACTTCTCCCCGAGGGGCGTGTGATACTGTTTGGGCTCACCATTCGACAGCATCGTCCGTGCCCATTTTTCAGGGTCAGGATTTTCAAATCCCCTGGAGCTTTCTCTCTTGAAGTCTGTCTTTTCTGGTGCATCCTTCCCCAGCCAGGAGCCCCACTCGGGCCTGGGTCTGGCCTCGGACAGGCGGGCAGCAGCCACGTTGCCTGGAGGGGTGGTCACAGTGTGTCTCTCCACGAGATGCTCAAACATGGTGGCCCGCACGGTCTTGAAGCCTCCATTGTCCCCTGCAGTGATGTCATAAGGATTTGGGGCACCCATGGCGCTGTCATCCCCACTGTTACCCCTGACACGGGTACAACTGTCTTTCCACTCCGTCTGCCTGGGCTTCTCCCGGAGCGGCACAGGCTTCCAGGGTCGTGCTGGGGAGGGGGCTCCATCTAATCCATGCCCTTCCTTTTGCTGGGAAACAAAAACAACAACAAAGAAAGTCAAAGGACATGAAATGGAAAGGAAGCGAGATGATTGAAAGGGCCGCTTTTAAAATCACTGCAGCAAAATACCCTAAAACTGTAAAGACTGAGCAGGGTGGGGAAACGAGCACTCCAGAATTCTGCGGTGAGAAAGCATCAGTGGGTGTGATGTTTGGGCACTGCTTATGCATGTCATTTCCTTTTAATCCAGTCAGTTTCCTCTCAGGGTTCTTTTATGGCCCATGTACACAAGTGGAACAAGAATGTTTGAACAGCACTGTTTGTGGAAGTAAAAGAACACAAAAACGGGCTAAGTAAATGCTGATACATGCAAAGGATGGAAACTACAGGAGCCTTTGGATCCACAGAAGGGGGCAGGGGTCCTGAATCTTGTCCCCTAGAGACAATCGATGGTGTTTTGGCTTTTGAGTTTTTGAGAAGCTTACATTTTCATGCTGTCTGTCCTTAGCCCAGTTATTATTGCCCCTGATCTCTAGTGGCTCTTCAGAGTTAAGAGACACCAAGGGAGATGTCAAAGAATGAGGAGATGCAGGTGGGGCTATGTTCTAGGAGGTTCTGTTACATCAGGGGTCCTGATGTCCTCACATATGAAAATGTACAAATGCTGTGTCCAATGTGGGGAAAAGTAGACTGTGGAACAGCAGTGAATAAAAGAAGTAGGACGTTCTTTTCCATTTTATAACATGCATGTATTACTTAGTAACCTTTACATTTCTTTTCTTTTTTTTTTCCTGTTGGAATAAGTCTACTTTCAACAGGTTAAGCATAGGATTACCATAATCTACCAATTCCATTCCTGGGATATACCCCAAAGAATTGAAAACAGGTGTTCAAACAAACACTGTATACCCATGTCTGAAGCAACATTATTCACAAAAGTCAAAAGGTGGAAACCACTCAAATGCCCATCAACAGATGAATGGATAAACCTATATACATAATGGAATGTAGCCTATATACATAATGGAATATTACTCAGGCATAAAAAAGAATGATGTGATGCATGCTACAACATGGGTGAACCCTGAACATACTATGCAAAGTAAAAGGAGCCAGACACAAAAGAATATGTACTTTAGAATACCATTTAGATTGAATGTCCAGAACTGACAAGGTGATGGAGACAGAATGCACATTCATGGTTTGCCAGAGACCAGAGGTGGCAGAGAGGACTGATTAAGGGGTTTCCATTTGGGAGTATGAAAAGTTCTGGAACTGAATAGCGATAACAGTTGTATAACATTGAGAATACACTTTAATGTCACTAATTGTACACCTTGAAATGTTATAATGCAGGCAGGGCCATAGTTTGCTAACCCCTACTCTAGAAAATAGAACATTATTGAAGAATTTTAAAATCAGATTTTCAAGTTTTGTTTATATTTTATGACATGAATCATGATATGAATCCATTCTCATTGTAAAGGAATCTAAACAATGCAGACAAAACTCGTTTTTTTTTCTTTCTACATTCAAATACCAGTCCCCTTCTGGAATAACAACTACTGTCAAAATGAGATGTGTATCCTTAAAGAACTTTCTAGAACTTTCTCCTTGACTTATTACATTATCCTTTGTCCTTGCATTATTGCTTGTATGTATATATACATACACGTGTGTATAACAGTAGAAATACACAATTTTTATTCTAAATTTAAAATGTAGATTTAAATTTTTCACTGTAAAAAAATAGTGACAATGGTATGTTTTATATGTATTTCACCACAACTTTCTCAAACTTACCACAAAAGATGTATTTATAGAGAGGAAATCTTGTATTTAAAGCCAGAATTTTTTTACTAATTCTTCACAATTTGAAAGTTTTCAAACATCTATAGACTCACAGAGATAATAATAAATTTGCTTCAACCAATCTCCTAGAGTCAATGAGAATAAACATTTTACCCCACTTGCTTCACACTGTCCTTTTGTCTTTTTGTTCTTGTCACTATGACATTTTAATATGACTATAAAGGGCTTTACTTAAAATGGACTGTCTCGATCATTTTGAAATAAATGACTCAGAAGATCCAAGGATAAAAATACAAAGCAAGCTGTCAATCCCAAGACCGGTGGAAAATCATTCCAAATCGCCTCCCCTTGTTGGGATGTACAAATCCCTCAACAGGACGTCTACAAATGGGCCAGGAACCGAGTTCTGGTGTTTAAAACTCTGTGCAAATTTCTTTAAAAGCAAAATGTACACCTACCACACAATGGAGTCATTCCACTCCTAAACATTTACCCAAGAGAAAAGAAAACAGATGTCCTACGGAGCCTCACCCACAACTATTCTGGACAGCTTCATTTGCAATGACCCTGAAACTGGAAACAACCAAATGTCCATCAAAGGGTGAAGGGGTGAACAAGCTGGTCTACCTCTACCATGGGGTACTACTCAGCAAAAAAAAAAAAAAAAAAAAAAAAAAAATGATACTACAACATGATGAATCCCAAAATAATTATTCTGAGTGAAAGAAGCCAGCCTCCAAAAAGAACACTTTTTTAGAAATGGAACAGCCAGCAGATGAGGGGTTTCCTGGGGGATTACACAGAGTCATGTGTGTGCTGAAGATTTCAGTATCCTGACTGTGTTGACCATTTCCCAGGTGTGCACATATCTCAAAACTCACCTGCTGGTACACTTGAAATATGTGTGGCTAACTGTATATAAGTTATACCTCAAGACAGCTGTTTAAAAGTAAATTAAAACTCTGTGGGAAGCATCAACCACAAGCCAGTTACCCCTACCAATTATTTTATGAGCTTTTTCTTATTAAGCAGACTAAATAAAAATGCTTTTTAAGCAATTTAATTGCTGGTAATTCCTCTCCTTCTTCTGGGCTAGGTAACAAGTCAGGGTGGGGACGGGAGCAGGGGCCAAAATGAGGGAAATTGATGGACTTCTATTGACAATTTTTAACCTAGGGCCTCCCTGGTGGCTATCATGGCTACAGCCTAAATTCAATTCCCAGCCAGGAATCCTGAGCTCCTGTCTTGCCCGCTGCTCCCCTCAGCAGTATATTTCAGTCAATCTGCCTGTTCTGCTCTCACTCTGTCTCTGGTGAATCCTCTCACCCCCTGTACCTCTGGCCTACACCCCAACTCTTCTACACAAAAATTTAAAAAAAAAATTTTAACCTAGATTTTACGCTCTTAATAAAGCAGCCATTCTTAAATAGAAAAGCCACATCCTCTCTCCTATTTAAATGGAAAAAAATAAATACCTGATGATTCCATTTTTTAAACAAGATTTAACAAGGAGGAAGGGGAAAATGACAACCTACCTGCCAGGAAGGACTTTAAAAGTCCCAAAACGCAGTGGGAAAATGTCTCATTGTTCACAAGGGGTTTTTGATTTTTCCTGGGGTTTCTGAAATCTCTCTCTGCAGTATAAATACCCAGCCATTGGGATGCAAGATATGCCAGCTGCTCCTTACCTTTTCTCTGGGTTCACCACTGAGCTCAGGACACTTCTCATATTTGACTTCATGGCTGGATGCTGAACTTGAAAACCTGGTACAGAGACCCAAGTTACTAGTACAGAAGCCGGGACTCCCTCCAGCCCACACTCTGAAATGAGCTCAGGAGCCCAGGGTGAAGTCAGCACTGAGATAATCAAAGTGACACTCACTGCCTGATTCCTTTGAGAAAGAATATTTCCTTTCCAGTGGCCAAAGCTAGCAGGGCCCAGGGGGGACAGCCTACCTGAGACACAGCATCAGCGGGGTAGCAGGAGCCCCGGCTCGGGAGAAGAGGCCTGGGTGTTAGTCCCAGCACTACTGCCTCCCACTGCGGGAGCTTGGGTCTGGCTTCTGACCTCACCTCTGCTTCTGTTTCTTCATCTATAAAATGGGGATAATTAACACCTCCCCCTTGTCTTTTGTAGGGCAGATAAGAGGCGACCCATAGGTCCTAATAACTATATGAGGGCGTTTAAGGAAGAGTGAAGATGCCCCGGGAGGGATAATTAATGGTTGTTGTTACCAACTGTGGGCACAACAGAAGCCGTGCCACAGATGAGCTGCGGGACTCAGGGGGCAGTGGGCCGTCAGGGAATGCGTGAGGGCGTGAGTCTGCCTCCGCCTCCTCAGTGGGCAGGTCATCATCCCTAAGCCTCAGTTTCCCCACTTGTAAAGGGGAAGAGAGGAATAGGGTAGTTTTCCCATCTCTGAAGAATTTTCTGTAGATGCCAAAAGATTAGTTCAGGGATACAAGCTACAGGGAACAGGGAGGAGACAGCAAATCACTTATACTTGACCCCCCACCCAGCATTCCAGGGGAGAACTGATACTGTGGACCAGTTGTTTCTAAATCTGGACCTCAGTTTCCCTGTCTATTGGCTGGAAATGGTCTAATGACCCTTCAGAGGCGCTGCAGGGGTAGAGGGAGAGGAAGTGTGGGGCGTCGCTTTCTCTGTTATCTGAGTTCAGGAATTCTCAGGCCTGGCTGCACATGAGAATCATGGAGAAGCTTTTAAAAACCGAGATATGAGCCCCACCCCAGACACGAATTAGATGCAGAGGGAGAGGGTGGGGGTGGCATCGGTATTTTTCCCAGGTGATTCTAAATGCTGAGCCCATGGGCTAACTCTGGCCCGGAATAGCTGCCCTGGTTCCCAGGGCTGGGGGAGTGCATGCCCAGTGGTCCCGCCCCCTAGAAGCCCCCACCCTGACAAAGTATGTTAGTGGCATGCATGCCATCAAGCAGGTAGCAGACACACCCAGGGGTATCTTCCCATAATAGCAGCAAGAGATGTGAGAGGCCTGGCTAGCTTAGAAGATCACAATTAACCAAGAGGACTAACAACTTCATTTGGAGTTACGAGCTGAGGATTTCCCACAATACGCTCTCTGAGTCTCTGCTGTAATCCTTTAAGGAAGACCTTAGAATCATTTCCATTTTGAGGAGAGACGGAGACAAGAGGGGAGGTGACATGCCACTTGACACATCTCATTTTAATTTGAGGGTCACTCACAGAGGGTGCAACCTAAGCAGCCTCAGGCTATAGGAAAGGAAAGCTTAGCTCTAGAGGCAGGCCGTGCTGGATTTACACGGGGCTCCTGACTTCCTCACGCCCATCACCTTTCCTGGCACATCTGTGAAGTGGGCACAATGCCTCCCCGCCAAGTGCACTGATGACAGGGGACAAAGATATCAAGCTGCCGGCCCCACTGTACCTGGAGGGGAGTTGCATCCTCTCTCCACACTTCTGCTGCCTCATCAGGGAAATGGAAGATAAGGCCGCTTGCTCTCTGGACCATGGGGAAATGTTACAGTGGGTAGTGAGGTGACCAACATGGAGTCTGGCACCCCCAGGGTTTCTGGTGGGTAGTTTAAAGCCCCTTGGAGGCTGGGAAAAGCCCATGGGACATCCCCACTTACAGTTTGGTCACGTCTGCCGACTGTGGGCGTTCCCGGAATGTCTTCCTCCTGGTCACTGGCCTTGCCTCGGAGCTCTCAGCAGTCCAGCCCTTGATCCGCTCCTGGACACTCATACCTGCTTTCTCTGCCTCTGGCTTGGCCCATGGGGACTCAGGAGTGGCCGGTGGAGGTTCAGACACCACTGCCAAGACCACCCCACGCTCCTCCTCATGCTGGCTGATGTGCTTCCTAATGCTGCTCTGGGAGGTCTGCTCTCTCCCAGCCAGGATCTCCCTGTCGGTCGCTCTGCTCTTGACTTCAGTGAATTCTTGCCCCTTTTCTGGCCTGGATGAGGGGAACTTGGGTACCTTCTCCAGGTCCTTGTCCAGTTTGGCTTTCTCTTTCCCAAGATTCTGGTCCTCTGTGGGGGTGACCCAAGCTGAGTCCCCGGCAGTTCTGAGGCTGCCCATCTCTGCCTGCTTAAAAAGCATCTTCTCGTTTGGTTCTCGGTTCTTCTTGGCCACCTCCAGGAGGCCTGAATCCAGGTCCTGAAGGGTAGCCTCTGCTTTGACAAAACACTCCCTGTCCACTTTGAGCTCCGGGTCAGACCTCTCCAACCTCCGATGGTGGGCAGTGGAAATCACTGTGGCTTCATGAGCTCCCTTTTTCAGCAAGGCCTCCCCTCTGTTCTCAAACCGGGCCGTAATATCCATAGACAGAGGCCTGGGCTTCCTCACCCAGGTCTTCTCAGGAGGAGTAGGGGGTATTTTCCCTACTGTGGCTGTTCCTCCTGAGCCTGACTTCTGAGGCTGAATGGATTCGGTGAAAATGGCCGACCTGGGCCTTATCTTCAGGTGAGGCTTGGGTTCCAGAGCAGGGCCCCCTGTGTCCTCCATACTGCTGGACTTTGAGAGAGCCTCTTTTGAGCCTATCTCCTCCTGGGTAGCAGCTGGCCTTATGTCCTGAGATAGAGAAGCTGGTCGGGGGAGGATCCCTCCCGGCTTTCGGGCAGGCAGGGCGGGCTTGGCAGCCACCTCAGGCCGGGAGCCTGAGGGGGGCTCCTTAGACTTGCCTACACTGGCCTCCCGAGTCCCCTTCCCCAAAGTGAGGCCAACCTTGGTGGTTTCAAAAACAATCATGGTGTTTGGACTGGGCCTCTGAAACTCAGCCTTGTTGAAGAGTGATGAGCTTCTTCTCAGGCCCTCCCCACTCCCTGACTCCTGTTCCACCAAGATGGGCATCTTCTCACCCAGAGACTTGGTCACCTTATCCTCAGAGAACCCACAGGAAGAAGATGGCCTGAGCTGGCCAGGCCCCGAGGATGCAACAGGGGATTTCAGGCCCAAGTCCTTCTCCCTGGAGAAGGGTTTTGGGGCGAGTCTTGGCAGAGGGAGTAAGCAGGCTGGGCTCCTGAAGAGGCTTTTTCCTTCCAAGAGTGGCCCTGAGGAAGCCCCAGAGGTGTCGCTGGTTTGGAGGAAATAGGTACGTTTTAGGGTCTCCTCCTTGGTGATCTCACCGAGGCCTGGCACTCCTGTCAGAGAAGTTAGGGAGCCGACCTCGACCCGCGTCACCATGGTTACGGTGGTGGCTCCATGGAGATGAAGAACACCCGAAATGGACAAGCAACCACTGAAAAAAGAGTAAACATAAAATTTGGTCAGTGTCTCTGTTAAAGCAGGCTGGAGGCCTGGGTTCTGGACAGCAGCTCTCTGCTGACTTCACCGGGCAAGCCTGGGCCAGTCTCTTCTGAGCTCCGGGCCAGGGGAGTGGACTAAATCACCAGCTCTGAAGTTCGTTCCAGCTCAATGGGGTCGGGAAAGGGAGCCAACATTCCCTAGGACTAGGCCAACTCAGCAAATCTCCAGGCCAGCACTTAGAGTTCAAAATGATTATCTCTGCTGTACATATCAGGAAGCCAGCTCAGAGAGGCCAAGTAAAAGGCACTCTGAGAATAAAGGACTCAAGTTGGGATTCGAACCCAGGTCTTACCACACACCCCCCAGCATAAGCCCTGTAATCCTAAGTATTTCCCCATTTTACAGCCTGCACACATCAGCAGCCCATTGAATTCTGGTCACAGCCCTCGGCTGAGTGCCAAGCACTGAGAGGGCAAATGGCCAGTCCCAGATCACACAGACACATAAAGCCAGAGTCCCTGAGGTCCCAGATTTGATTAGTGGCCCTGGAACCCAAACTTCAGCCCCCAACTCCATCAGACTGTCCCTTACATTTCCCCTCCCTCACATTTCCATATGCCTTAAAAAACGAACGCTACCCTCATTTTTCACTCCACCTGCATACACTTTTTGCCTTTAGTTCCTTTACTCTTGGACACCTATTACATGTTGGCTGCCTTCAGAGTCTCAATAAGAAGAGTAGCAATTATGGGCCTCCCTGGTGGCACAGCGGTTGAGCGCTGGGCTGCGAAGCTGCCCATAGCCTCTGCAGTGCTGGTTCGATCCCCAGCCGCCATTGAGGGTCCCACATGGCACGCAGACCTCTCCTGCCGCCTGCTGCTCCCCTCAGCAGTGTACTTCATCAGTCTGCCTGTCCTGCTCCCCGCTCTGGCTCCGGTGAATTTTCTCACCCTCCCACGCTTCTGACTGTACCCAGTGCTCGTATAAATAAATAAATAAATCTTAAAAGAAAAAAAAAAAAAAGAAGAGTAGCAATTAACAGTACAGGTTTACCATGAGTATGGCAGCAAGGTATGACAAGTGCTTGGCATGTTTTATAAATCACACCCTCCTTACAAGCCTAGGAGTTGGGCACAACGATTATCAAACCCCACTTTACAGAGATTCAGGCATGAGTCCTCTTGTTTATTTAGTTACAAGCTCTACTCTCTCAAGGCTAGAACTTCCTCTCTTACTAACCCTCCAAAAACCCTGAGAGATGAGGATTATCCTTATATCCTTCATGGAGCTGAAGGGCTCAGAGAGGTCACCCAACTTGCCTATAATCACACAGCAGAAATTTGACAAGTTCTTGCTCCCTTCAGCGCTGCCCTTTAAAGAATTATGTCTTACTCCTTTCTGGTCGTAAAAAGTACCAGACAAGTCACTATTCTTGATTCGGTCCCCCCTTGCTCACCCTGCTTCCCCACCAGTGTTCTCTTTCTGAGAACTGCAAAACTGCCCCCTGCCTGCCCCCATCTAGGTGGACTAAAAGCAGAAGGTATTTTAGTTCAACGCTAGTCTCCGCTTCCCTTCCTGGGGCCTCACATTGCTGCCCCCGGCTGTGACTCACTCTGCAGCCTCCAGGAAAGAACGGCAGATTTTGATATTTTCTCTTCCTTACAAGCCCAATGGTGTTAACAGATTCCTTCTCTCCAAGGCGGAGAACCCTGTCTAGACACAGTTCGAGGCATAAGGGAGAGACAGATTTGGAGAAACGAAGGATTCGGAGAACAGGAGGGAGAATTTCACCTGCAGAGACCCTGAGCTGAGTTCTAAGGTTCCCTGGGGTCCTCCCCCAAATCAGGACTGTTCACCTTTAGGGTCAGCCCCCATTACCTCTTGAAACCCTCTGAGAGCCATACAGACCCCAGAGGGAGACACAGGACAACAACAGGATTCAAGTGGCAGAGAGGAAATTCACTGGTAGAATGCACAGGCACCCTCCACCCCGGACACTCCAGCCCCCCTGTGCTTGGGTCCAGCACCCGCCCTACTCACCCAAGGTGGCAGACCCGGCTCAGGGAGTGTGTGTCGGCTGGAGAAAGCCAGTGGGGTCACAGCTCATGGAGAACGGGGCTGTCTGAACACTACATGGCAGAAGCAGGCGGAGGAGGAGAGGCTCTCCCAGCAGGCTGAGTTTCGGCAGGTCTGGGGAGACACAGGACGACAGCCTCAGTTCTGGAGTTCCGGCAATATGTGCACAGACGGCGCAAAAGCTTTGGAGCGCCAACTGCATCCGCTGGCATCTCCAGCTTGTAAAACTCATGCTCCCTTTGGATTTTCAATATTGTAGCTTTCTCTATAGACACATGTGTACAAAGAGTGCTGAGTCCACAGCAAGTGCTCAATGAAAATGTCCCCCATCCCTCTGGGACATGTTTATTGAGCACCTACTAGATGCACCAAGATGAACAAAAAATATCCCCGTTATTCAGGGAACTCAGTCTTCTGTAAGAAACACACGCACACACAAACACTGGGTATAAATGTCACAGTATATAAAGGGAGATGTGGAAGCACAGGAATAGAATTAATAGGCTAAAATTGGGAGTGATGGTTCTGAATAAATCCCTGAATTTAGAGGTGATTCCTGAGCACTCAAGGTGCTGGCTACTTTGGAGGCTGCTTCTGGTTGTCCTGTTCAGCAGTATTTAGACATTGCATCTCCTGGAGACTCTCACAGGCCACCTCAGGACCTTTGCACATGTTGTACCTTCTCTCTGGGATACACTTCTTGCCCCCAAAGACATAGGCCTGTACTCAGACCATGGCTCAGACACCTCTGCCCCCAACCTCCCAACCCAATGCAATCTTCTTATAAGTTCGTGGATCACCATGGCTACTTGGCAGGACCCAGTCACTGTTACACAGTACATTTAATAGTGTCTGAACCTTCATTTCTTTTTTTTTTTTTTAAGATTTATTTATTCATACAAGCACCAGGGTACAGGCCAGAGGTGCGGGAAGGTGAGAGAATTCACCAGAGACAGCAGAGAGCAGAACAGGCAGAAGGACCAAAACACACTGCTGAGGGGAGCAGTGGGTGAGACAGGAGAGGTCTGCTGCACCATGTGGGAATCTCCCTGGCTGGCCGGGAATTGATCCCACACCGCAAAGGCCGTGGACAGCTTCACAGCACTGTGCTCAACCCACTGCACCATTGGGGAGGCCCTGAGCCTTCATTTCACACCAGTATTTCCCATTGAATGACAAGCCCCCCAAGGACATCCTGAATCCCCAATCGCTAGCACAGAGCCCTGACATCTAATAACACCCAGAACATAACTGTTGAATGTATAAATAAATGATTATTGATTGAAAAAATTAATGAATGAAGAAATATTCTCCCGGTCTTGCTCCCCACTCTTCTAAGATTCTGAGTCAGCACAGGCGTCATGGGTTTTCATGACACCAAGCACCAGGGCATAAGATGAGTTACTCTGGCTCTGGCAAGTTTTGGAGCAGTCATAATAAGTCACCTCCCCCAGATGCCAGAACCAATGAGCTGTGAAGCACTCAGCTGGCTGCTCAGGCTACCTGTCCCATCAAGAGGCCCACTGGTTTTGCCATGGGGCCGGAGGGGTTGGTGGAGGGGGGGGGGGCGCCTCCTCCCTGCCCCATCCAGGAGCTTCTCTTCCTAAGACAGGCCACCGTTGGATACCTGTTGTGACCATTTAACCGGACCTATCCGGTTAAACATTCCCAAACATGGAATGAATGCTTCTCTATCCAGCTTTTCCTGGTAAGAGAGTCACCAAGAGCACACGTTGCTGAATTAGGATCAAAGGTACCCAAATGGCTGCCCACTTTGGTCATACTGCAGGTAAGGAAAAGGGGAAAGATGAGAAAGAAGATTCCTCGTCCAACCCCTTGAAACCAGAGTAGTGTCTCTGTTCTCAGCAATCTCCTATTTTGGGCTTCTTCTCAAGTTTTCATTGGAAATGCCTGGCGCATGCCTGGTATGTAAATATGGTTGCACAAACGAATCAATGAATTAATTAATAAATCAAGGAACAAAGTGGACGGGGGTGGGGAGGTGGGAGGTTGTTTGTAAATTACTGTGGTGGACATCGAAATACATTTTTTTAAGTCTTTCCAAACCTAGAAACCCACGAGTCTCAGGTTTTCATTTAACCTGTTGTAAAATACAAAAAAAAAAAACTGATTGAAATATATGCATTAAAACCTACTTTAAATGCATCACATATGTTATGCTTAATTTAAGAGATGCTAGTCTCTTCCAAAAGATTTCGGAAGCCCACTCACAGAGGCCAGCTGTTATTTATTCTTGAGGTGGCCTCGCTCACTCTTTTTTGTAACTCATACATGTTTATTATAATTGCTATTATTTGATTAAGAACATTATTTGTCCCTGCCCAGGTATAATGCTTCAAGTTGAATTTGTCAATAGCCCTCATTTATTACTCCACCTGTGTCTTATTTCTCTCCCACCATCCCTTACACCCATTTGACCCTTTCTCCTCTCGCTTCCCTCTGAATCTCAGAGCCTCACGATATTTATTAGCTTCCCCTGGGTTTTGTAAGTATTTTGCTCTGTCAAATGTCTGCTATGTAAACGTCCAGTATTTGTCTTTGTCATTCTGACTTGCTTTCCTACGCATCATTCCCTCCAACTCCTTCCATTTTGCTGTAAATGGCAACATTTCATTCAGTCCCTCTTTAATGTAGTGGCACAATGGTACAAGCCCAGGTAAAGAAAAAGAAAGCAACAAGAGAGTGAGCCACCTCTGGTTTTACATATGTTAATCGTCATGAGGGGCCAGGGAGGACAGCCACAGAGTAAGGCTCTCCTGGAGGTCAGAGTAGACCCCTACATTGGGCCAAGAAACACAGGCTTTCAGTCTGACCTCACCGTGGGGGTAGGCTTGGACAAGTCTCTGCTGCTGCTGCTGAACATGCCAAGACTGCAAGCTTTATCTCCCGGAATTGATTTGCAAAGTCTGAATTCCCATATCCTGCAATTTTACGCAGAGGAAACCATTTTCCTGAGAATGGAGTCACTTTCCAGAGCAACAGTAGCTGAAATTAGACAGGAGTCATTCTAGAGCATACATTTGTCCATCCTGAGAAACTTCTTTCCACAAGCCAGGCTCGGTGCTCGGTGCTCAGGGTAGGCACAGCCGTCCACCGTCTCCAGGGGAATCCCAGAGACCCCGACAGAAGAGAAGCACTTCCATTCAAAACCCAACAGTTTGGCAGCTCTTCTCTCGGATTCAGAGGCGTTGATTCATTCTAACAGCTGTTGCTGATCTTTCATAATTACACCCTTAAACCCTATCTGGGAGCTCACCAGTCATTTACTAGGCAGTCTCTGGGTGCTGCTTCCCTGGAACGCCACCATCTGGTGAGGAGGGTGAGCCAGTCCCAACACCTTTCAGCTACCAGGGAATGTGACCTGGGCTCCCAAATCTGCAAATTCATCCTGTGTGGTGCCTCGTGCCAAGGCCAAGTGCACGCCGGTGTCCTCGCAGAAGAGGAGGGGTAAGTAACGCTGCAGTACATCCACCCACAGTCCCCAGATGGAAAGAGCCCAGTGTCTAATGGCAATGGAGCGCTGCCTCCTCTTTCCTCTGCCCCAAGGCTGTGGCCCTCTGTAGAGGCAGGAAGGGAACAGGGCAGGTTTTCTATGATCCAGCAGATGGGTGAAGGAGAGTCCTGGAGTCCTTGGTGGCTTTGCAGGCTTTTATTGGGATTTACCAGGTACATGGCAGGCAGGGGTTCCGGGAGCGGGGGAGGAGGGGTGTCCGGGAGGCTGGCAAGTCTCCCAGCCCCCAGCAAATCTTCACTCTTTTGGGCTCTCTGGCGTTCTCTCATGGCCTCTGCCTCTTTACTCCTTTCACTCTTGTCTGTTCCATTCTCTCTGCTGTTCTTTCTCTACTCCGGTGGCATCCCCGTGACGCCACCCTTATAAGCCAAATCTCTCAGCCCAGGTGTACCCTCTTACATATGCCCACACCCTACTCCAGGTGTCCGCCATCAGGCATGCATTCAGGTCCTCAGATCCATCATCAATCCTAATGGCAGGAGGGCAGAAAAGCCTGATACTATTTTACCTTACCCTACACCCTTCCTCGTTCATTCACTCGTTCATTCATTTGTTCATTCATTCATTCTAATACGCAACTGACCAGGCTCTGTACCAATGTACCAGGCTCTGGGACAGACACTGGGGACAGCACAATGAACAAAACATCTAGAAAGCCCTGTTCCCATGGAGCTGATGAGCAAGAAGAGGGAGTGAGACAATAAACAACATATACAAGTAAAATCCTTAGAAGTCTAGCTAAATGACTATAATAAAGGAAAGGGCTTGAAATGGGGTGGTCAGGGAAGATTTTGCTGAGAAAGGACATTTAAAATCCACCCCCTTGAAACAAATGAGGGATCAGGAAAATATAATAAATAAAAAACCAAAACTAACAGGCAACTATAAATCAGACATTCTGCAGGGGAGTGGGAGGAGAGGGATCAAAACAGAGAAGAGGGCCTCCCTGGTGGCGCAAGGGGTTAAGACACAACCTATGAAGATATCCGCAGCCTCTGCAGCATGAGTTCGATCCCTGGCCAGGGAGCTACCCACATGGTGCAGCAGACCTCTCCTGTCTCGCCCGCTGCTCCCCTCAGCAGTGTACTTCGGTCAGTCTGCCTGTTCTGTTCCCCACTCTGTCTCTGTTGAGTCCTCTCACCCCCACCCCCCACACCTCTGGCCTGTACCCCAGCTCTTGTATGCATAAATACATAACTCTTTAAAAAAAAAAAGAACAGGGAAGGGAAGAGCACAAGGGACTATGGCAATGGCGCAGGAATGAACTGGTGCCAGGAATTATACGGAGACTAAAACTGAGAGGAGAAAGTAAATTTCATACAAAAATAAACAGTAATGTAAAATATATATTAATAAATAAATTTTTAAAAAATAAAGGGCAATATAGCTAAATGAAACAAATAAAATCCACCCCCTTGATGACATTCCTGCCTCGTTTGAAGCCTCCTCCTAGCTGCAGCCAGAGTGAGTCTCTGATATGTGTCATCATGTACCCCTCTGTTCATCTATGCCTCCCCACTGCCCTCTGGATGAAGATCAAACTCAGCTGAGGCCCAGCTTCATCTCTCTAGTTTCAGTCTAC